TACTCAAGTATGGTTTTCAGGTACTCTTTACACCTCTGATAACTGTTCTGTCTCGCGGAGGAGCTAATTTGTGTGTGAAACACGCATAGGAAAAAAAGAACGACAGAAAGAACGGCTCCCCTCCAGCCGCGACTCGGCTCCCATCGTTCATGTTTATGAGCCGTTCAAAAGAATCGGTTCGTTCGCGAACGTCACAACTCTAATTCGGGTGAGAGATTGAAACTGAAGCATCGATCTCATTAAACTGGTATCGATCAATATCAATACCAACATTATTATCGATACTTGGATCGATCCGCCCACCACTACTGTGAATCATTTTTGCAGAATCAGAAAGAAGCAAGAGGTTAGTCCAGCTAATAGGGAAGTACCGTTGAACTATTATTGATGCTTCTTCTTTCATTCTGTATATTTTTTTTATTAACTATTACAACGGAAAAGTAAGGTAGCAGAAAGAACTGTACTCGGCCCTTTCACTTTCTATGCAAGAACCCATTCAGAAAACATTTCTCTTTTCGCCCCTTCTGCGTTGTACATTATAAATCACCTTTTCTTTGATGCTGGTGGCTCGACCTATATTGTTTTGTTGTCCTTCTCGCCCGTCACTCCCCCCATTTCACAAAACCGACAAAATGAAGTTTTTTTTTTTAACTAATGTTACATCTAGCTAGCTATTTAAGTCACGATAGGGTCGTGGATGCGCGCGGCAGACCGATAGCCCACGCAGTTGTTAGGTAACAATTAAGGTAAGCTTTTTATTTCTGCTACCAATCAAAGTATAAACAGCCAATCGTTGCTGCGTTTTACCCGTTTTTAACCATTTATGGACACAGGATTGGATGTATAAGCATAACCAGGAAGAAGAAAGAATAGTGACAGTGATCCTTGAACTGTGGAGAGCAGACTTGGATCAGCTGACAGAAATCCTGAAGGTTACAGGCACCCCAACTAAAGAATTTATCATGAAACTGCAGAGCCAAGATGTCAGTCATAAACATGAATGTAAAGCTTTTCACTGTGCTTTGTCCTTGATGCTTACAACCCAAAATGGCGTTAAAAATACAGTTCTGTTCTGTTAAATAGGTGAATAATACACCTGTTTTTAAGGTGACTCCATGTATGTTTTTATGTAGCATGGCAAAGGAAGACAGCTGTTTGGAAGAATTTACCATAACTGACAGTACTGTATTTCCATTACATTTGTGAGTTAACAAGGTAGACAAATTTTACATTTCTATAGTTCGATTTGTTATTTTGAGTGTGCTCTGGCTGTAGTTAATGGTAAAAAGAGAACGTTATGTAAAGTTGTAAGACTTTGACCTGCTTATCTTGCAAACAAAGTTAAGTTTCTTAAAACTACTTTCCCTTTGTATGATTTGGTCATTGTACAATATGTGTGTGTGTGTGCATGGGTTATGTTTATTTTATATTGTTGTAACCAAATGGCCCCCAAAATGTAAAAAACACCTGATAATTTGACATTGTGGGGGGACCATTTTTCAGGTCCCCACAGAGATCTGTGAATGCAGTCAAAAAACTAAATACGCCAAAAGTCTTGTACTTTGGTTACTCATGGTTAAGGTTATGTCGTCATGTTGGGATTAGTGTTTCCCCGTATAAATGAATGAAGAATCTCCACAAAGATATAATTACAAACCTGTAATTATAGACTGCCAGACACAGAAGCATTTGTCCCTCCACAGAGCACGTTTCCACTGCTCCAGAGTCCAGTGGCACTTCATCCGATCCATGGAGTATCTAGCAGGGAAGAAATTTCACAAACTGATTATGCAAAAGTGGCATCCCATGAAGTACCGTGCTACAATTCACTGAGCTCTACAGAATGACCCATTCTTTCACAAGTGTTTGTAAACCTGACTGCAAGGCTGGGTGCTTGAATTTATACACTTGTGGTAATGGGTCTGAATGAAACACATAAATTCATTAAGAGGAGGATCCCAATACTTTTTTCCATATAGTGTATGCATATTCCCATTGTCTATGTATAGCAAGTGAAAATTATATTAAAGTGTTGTAGTGAGATTTTGTAATGTACAAAAGCACAGATATGGAAGCCAACAGTTTACACTGTGAATACACAGTATACATTCATGGCTACATGCTAATGAAACACATGCATTCCACAGTAAACATTACATGGTTATGACATTTACTATTTGTAACATAAATAAACAAACACAATCAACTGTTTGGGGGGGGTGATTAGGGGGCACAGGCCTTCCACTATCTGGAAGGCCGTGCAAAAATTTTTGGCCCCCTTGATGAGCAAATCAAGAAACATGACATACAAAGATCACTGCGAGACATGTGTGTAAACACGCTTGGTGTCCTCCAAACCAGCACTGTACGTATATTTTATGCATTTATGAGTCACTAAACTTTTTGTGTGCTGTCTGCTGGCCTTCAGATGTCGTCTTTGTCTTTCGAAAAATTCACGTTTAATTTCTTATGCTGACCCAGTAATATATTGAAACCACGATTTGCAAAGTTGCAAAGCAGAAGGGTTGGCTGAATTACAGGAGTTCTGTCTAGACAAGAAACAGAAATGCTTGTTCATGCATTTATTTTTAGCAGGTTAAACTATTCTGTATTCACAGGTCTTGGCAAATAATCAATCAGACAGCTGCATCTCATCTAGAATGCTGTCACCAGAGTCCTCACTAACTCCAAGAAAGAAGGGCATATTACATCGGTCCTTAAATCACTGCACTGGCTTCCTGTGCATTATAGGATTGATTTTAAACTATTATTACTTGTGTACAAAGTAAATGGTCTCAGGTCCAAATACATTTCTGATTTACTTGAACATTATGAGGCATCCAGACCCCTGAGGGTATCTGGGAAACGTTTACTCAGTGTTTCCAGAATCAAGACGAAGCAAGGTAAAGCAGCATTCGGTGTCTATGCTCCCAGTTTGTGGAACAAGGTTCCTATAGACCTGAGGTCTGCTAAAACTGTTAGCTCATTTAAATCAGGGCTTAAAGCATTACTGTTTGCTGTACATTTTCAATTAATTAAATCAGTTAATTCATACGTTGTCACTACAATATAGCAACTTCTCAGTTAACTATTTGGCTTTTAGGTTTTTTAAATGTAGTTTTAGGTAGGCATGGACTCTCCCATGGTGTTCCTGGTGTCACAGGGGCAGCTTTGGGAGGACAGTACTGCATTGATGGTGGTCGGCATGGTGTTGCTCTCAATTTCAGCAGTACCTTTTGTAACTGAGCAGCGGTGTTTCCACATGAGGCCATTTTATGGAACTGATCTGGGATCTGTTGTTGGCAGCTCAGTGCTCTACCTCCATTCGATCACCCTAGGAAGGCACATTGCTTGGTTCCCAGGGATCTCCTTTGGTTTACCACTGTTGCCTCCCACATCCTGTTCTGAAGATTGGAGCAGTTGAAGTCATCAAATCGAGATCATCATTTAAATCAATGACCTGACATCCTGCTTCTCACACTACTGTAGTAAGTGTGTGGGTCACTTTAGTAAAAGATGCGATTGCTCTTTTTAAAGGGAGAATCGGGGAGCGTCTAAAATCTCATACTTGTTTCCGATGTGGAAGGCAAAATATGGTATACAATGTGAGCAGGACATCGAAATCCTAAGTATAAAGGAGACTGTAGAGATATGGTACATTCTGTGAAACAATGGACACTATTCTATCCCACAAGGCTGCTGGAGCTGCAAACAGAAATGAAGTATGTCGCTTGTTCAGGATTTTTTGTCAAAATTGCAGAGGATGTGCAGACTGTACAAATTTAAGTAGGAAACAATACCCAGTTACATCAGTTGATGTGTTTAGTACAATATATGCTCTTCTTGTTTTGTCCTGTTCATTTTGTTTTTAAATGCTAAAAAACATATTTAGATGTAATTTTTTGGGGCCAGGAACCAATCAATAATGGTTTTCCATTATTTCTTATGAGGAAAATTCGATCACAACTCAAACTTTTTAGGATTCCATCCGGAGTTCTGAACGGATTAAATTTGAATTCTGAGGTACCACTGTACTGTGATCAAATGGAAATTCACTTAAGCATGATAGAAAATGACAATGGAAAATAATATGACTTCATTCTGTTTATTTTTAACCATTAAAAGGTATGCTGTGCCTTTATATTTGCATTGGTTTTCATTACTTGACCATATCTAAGCAAAGGTCCAAGGGCCTAAGCATTTTAATGACAGAATATTGCATCTAATCAAAAATGTGACTTCTTTAAAAGTTAACATTATGTGATGATTTCCAGGCAGGAGCCTAACAATTTGAAGGATTTTGGCCACTAAAAATTCACTTCAGCTGGTTTCCACGAAATGGACAAAACACCATCAATTGATTTACTGCCACAAACTTCATTAATTGTCTCCTTGCGAAACAGTTCCATTTACACAAAAGATCAATAAAAAGCACTTTCTGTGTACTGTACCTACCCCCAAGAGTCTTTCTTTGTCTCTGTTTGCAGCTCCATGGCCTTGTGGGACAGCGCAGCATCCATCATTTTGCACACTTTGGAATTTCACGGAATGTACTGTTCACCTACTGCCTCATTCATACTGAGGATTTGGATGAACTGCTCACATTGCATACTATATTTTGCCTACTACATAGTAAACAAATATGCGATTTCAGATGCACCCTGATTCTCCCTTTAAGAAGAGTCATCACCTCCTCTTACTAAAATGACTGACACACTCACTATACAGGTATCTGAAGTAGGATGTCAGGTCATCCATTAAAATGATTATCTAATCCAACAACTTCAACAGCTCCAGACTTCAGAACAGGACTGGGAGGCAACAGTGGTAAACCAAAGGAGATCCCTGGGAACTGAGCAATGTGTCTTCTCAGGGTGGGGAGGATTGAATGTGCCAACAACAGATCCCAGATCAGTTCCATAAAATGGCGTCATACGGAAACATCGCGGCTCAGTAACAAAAGGCATGGCTAAAATTGAGAGCAACATCATGCCAGCCACTAGCCATACGGTACTGTCCTCCCAAAGCTGCTCTGTGACACCAGAAGCACCATGAAAGAGTCCATGCCCACCTAGGAGTCCCCACCCCTGTGTCCACCATGGGGGGTGGGTGGAGTGCACCCATTGCCAGGTCTTTATGGACAAAGGCTTCACCATCACCCTCATCTGCCCAAGCATCCTCTGAGGCATTGACCAGCCGACCCTGCCAGGGATGGAGGCAACCCAGGTGTGACCTGTGTTCCTCACTGGTGTGTGCACAGATGAAGGGGAGGAGGCTGCTCCACAGAGCAGGAAGTATAGCTCACAGACGTCTGGGACCACCACATCATAGGGCTGGACCTGCTGTGCCGACTCGGGGGGAATCGACTCGCCCATGGACAGCCCCCACCTCAGTGCTGATGTGGTGACCCTCCAGTAAGTTGGTGGCCAGAAGCAGAACCAATGGACACAGCGACGGACTGTGGCCAAGGGGACCACCATGATCCCGACTGTTCTGGCAGCCCCTGACGTTCAACCAATTCCCCTGCAATGCAAGGGTGACAGTGCAACATGACAATCCTGAGATTTTTATCAGTGTGGTTTGAATGTCCGGTTACTCTGAGCAAATTGAAATAAGGCTAAGAAGTCCGTTTTGCATTCTGTGTTTATTGATGAATTTTCAGAAACGTGGATGATTATCAGACGTTTGGGAATCAGCAATTGCTCCGTGTGCAGTAGTAGAACTTCCAGCGACGATCTCTGAAAATGCAAAGAACAGTTTTATTTAATAAGCAAAGTAGTAAAAGATTTGAAAATAAATAAATTTAATCAAGGTAGCAGCTTATATTTGTTAGAACTTTCATGTTGAACAAATAGATTATGGATGACTTTGAACAATTTAAAAATGTAAAACCCATTTCTAGGTATAAGATTTAATACGTACTCGTGTTTATTGTGGTGGATGCTTTCAGCTCCAACAAGGAAATTCATACTTGGAACAAGCCAAGTGAATTCCTCATCGTAATTGTTCACGTAAGGTGTCCACTGACAGTTACTGTTACAGTAGTTATAAATTTGGCAGCACTGAAACTGCCATCTGTAAATAAAGGGACATTGCAAAACAATTATGAAATGAAAACTCAAATATACTTCAATATGAAAAACAACAAAGTGGTTACATACTGAGCGGCAAACTGATTCATTTATATGAAAATTGAAACTACCTGAATCTTTAGGCTTGCCCAATGGAGACCAGAACAACACAGAAATTATTTGCAAAACAATTCACATTGTGAGATGTTTGTGATACGCATGCTAAAATTTGAAAAAGCTTTGAGGAACAGAGATCACGCAAAACATTGTGAAATACATACTCTTGCAGTCTTTCCATATAGCCCAAAATATGCAAGCTGATGAAAATAACACTCTAAGAGTACAACAAATTGGATCTTTTAGTAATAACCAATGCCTCATATGTCTGGTAGTACTACTACTAGTAGTAGTAGTAGTAATAATAATAATAATAATAATACCTTCTATCTTCATGTTTATTGTCATGATAGCTGCTCATCCCCGTCATGACATAATTGTTGGGACATACGAAGGTGAACTCCTCATCAAAATCATTGACTTCTGGTGTCCAGAAACACTGTGGGTTTGAGTTAAAGGTGTCCTTGCACTGAAACTCCCATAACCGGTCCTCACGGTGATTGTCATGCTTGCTAAAAAAAAGATGTTGAAACTGGCATTTGCTTCACTGGACAACACAATTGAATTAAGCAACGGAGATCACAATTGTACGGCAAGTATATATCATGAACTTAGAGGTATGAAGGACCTCTCTGTGTGTGAGTTTCCTTTAGCTACATCTCCTCTCACAACCCAAAGGCAATTATTTTACAAACCGACAGCAGCTAGCACACCTCTTACCTAGATATACTAGAAATGGATTGTCTGTTTGAGCAGTTGAAATTCAGAGGTTCATCATAAATATTTTCCCAGCGGGGTTCTGCAATAAGAACACAACAGCAATTAAAAACACTTTCTGCAAGAAAAAAAGATTAAAAAAATCTACCCATCTAGTAAATGACACCAAGGATTTAATCATATATCTAATGTACTTGTGTGGCATCACAGTTAAAATGGATATTACCTAACCCTTGTACCAAAGGACAGACAAGAAGAAGAAGGAGGAGCCTCTTCATTGTTTTAGAAGTGCGTAAAATGCATAAAAACCACAGCTTCTGGGGTGTTTTTATACGAAGACAGCCTGCCTTCCCCTGCCGCTACCTAAATATAATCAAGGTCTCCATGTTTTCAAAAGCACTACAAGGTCAGCGTTTCTGTTTGTTCAGGTGTTACGGTCAGTTTGGTTTTTTTGTCAGTATACCTGCAACACTTGCAACATTCTGTAAGAAACTTGACACATTTTGCAACTGATATTATTTTATCCCCTTGAGTTAGATCATTATACACGTATGGTAAAATGGCTTGTTATTTTCTGTTTCAGAATTTTTTGAATGGTCCCTCATTATAGACTTGCTGCTATTGAGTAATATGGTTGTAATAGACCTTGAATTAACTTGTATAAATGTATAAAGACTGGAAGAGTGACATAATCCAAGTCTAAATCACTAAAGTATTCATCGTGGTTTATTTTCATTCAGGTTGAGTAACTTCATCCACCGATCCTCCATGGGTGTTTCTCAATATGTATTATTTGACTGTACCTGTGTTCTCATTTACCCCTTTGACATCATCTTCAATTGCCGAAGACCAGTTTCAATACTAAGAACACAAGTACAGAGGACAGTAAAAATATCTAGATGTCGTTCTTGCCCTCCCATAAATATCAAGGATACATAGGTTGCATCCTCATCAGACAAGACCAATCCCATGATTCATTGCGCCTCAAGTTCATTCTTGGAAGACAAATTAGCAAGACTGGTCTTGCCAAGACCGCAAGTACGATCTTTGCGTTCTTGCTAATGAGAAACACCTCATGACTTTAGCTAATGCATGGACAAATGGGCCAGGAGCCTATACCAGATGGTACAGACTATCTATACAGCACAAGGCCATAGTCAACTTGGATAAATTAGTCATGTTTAATGTAAACACAGCTTGCTTTTTATAAATAAGTCAATGCTGTTTTAGACTACAGTGCTAGCTTTGCCTACAGTTAACCTGAGAGTGAGTTCACATGGTTGGGGAACACACTCCCCCCTACTGGTCCAAGGCTGCCACACCTGAGGTCGTTCACATACACTCACCTAAAGGATTATTAGGAACACCATACTAATACGGTGTTTGACCCCCTTTCGCCTTCAGAACTGCCTTAATTCTGC